CCCTGTGTGACCCCCGCCCCTGACACACCCTCTGTGTGAGCCCCGCCCCTGACACACCCTCTGTGTGAGCCCCGCCCCTGACACACCCTCTGTGTGAGCCCCGCCCCTGACACACCCTCTCTGTAAGCCCTGCCCCTGACACACCCTCTCTATAAGCCCCGCCCCTGACACACCCTCTCCGTAAGCCCCGCCCCTGGCAGGGCGCCCCCTTACCTCTGCCCCTGACGCCACAGCCCCAGGCGAGTCCAGCTTGCGCTTCTTCCGCGGTCCGATGGCTGCCAGCGCTGTCAGATTGGCGTCCCGCTGCCTCATCTGTGCCAGTTCCTGTTGCTGCATCTGAGAGGAGCAAAGCCAGACCAGGGTCACGCCAAGATCCATCACTGGAAAGAGTGACAACTGCTCCTCCCTAATACAGACATCCTCCTATGCAACAATAAAACACCACAAACTAACAGTGACTAACAGCAAAACATCTGGCATACAAGGTCAATAAACTCCATTAATATTCATACTCCTTCTACCAAAGCAGTTAAAATCAAATCATTTTCCTTCTCATTCCGAAATGTTTTTGACGAATGTCACAGTTAATGGAATTCCCGCACTTTAGTCTTCATCCCGCCTGCGCAAGCAATTCTGCTTTCCAAATACTTAGGTACATCTAGCTAGTACTGGGTGAGTACTGGGTGAGTACTGGGTGGCGCCGACTTTGCCCCCAGAACCACTTCCCTGGTTGGCAGGCCGTGCATTTAGCCTTTCTATACACCACTGTTGTACTGAGCCGTTATTGTGCACTAATGGCCTTCATGTTAGCTCAGATAAATCTGACCTCCGCTCATCCACATGGTGGTTCCAGCCTAGATGTTTTTTATTCATCACGAAATCTAGACACTGTACAGTGTGAAAATCCAAGGAAGGTGCCTAGTGATGGCAGAGCGATCACTTCTGGCACCAAAAATCACACTCTGTTCACACGACTCAGACCATGCGTCTCGGCCACTGCAGTGCCTTTCCACACGGTAAGTGAACCTCCTGACCCTGCATGCTACATGCTTTCAGCTGCAGCCACACGATTCGTTGTTTGTGTGCGACAAGTGTGTCTCATAGGCCAATGGGAGTAACCTGCTTTGCATTATAAAAAAAAAAAAAGCAATAATGTTAACATAAAAGAAAAACACACTGGAAAAAATGCAGTGACCGGGCTGATCTTCAACGCCTTGTTCCATTTGCTTTGTGTTCATTATTCCACACCGTTATTTACGTTATGCAGAAGGTGCTCGGTGTTACCCGCATTTGCTGTTGTTACAGTGTGATGCCATTCAGGAAGATTATCCTCCGCAAGACTTGTTGTTGCAGCCTCAGTCTATTCAATCTCTATTCCAGAGCATATAAAGATGGCGGCTCCAGTGCTGCAGTGGCCTGACAGCAGTGGCACTGCCCATTTCATACCCGACCATGTTTATAAAAGTTCAAACTGAGGAGGCCTTTTCTCACGCATATAGCACAATGAACGGCATCCATTTTTGGGGGAAATACACTTTCCTAGCATGGAAATATATATTTAAAAGGTCTTCTAAGCTTCCGGCAACAACTTGCTGCAGCAGACATCTGCTATAGTCGAGTAGCTGCTCGTCTTCAGAAAGCAGCAAAGCCATAAGGACAGGGACAAGATGCCCGTAAGGTAAGGAGGGGCCCGAAGAAGGGAGCACATCCGACAGCACTGGTCACGGGGTCCCAGGAGCCCGACGGGACAAGCCAACGTGGAGACTCTCCTACAGACAATAAGAAGTGTCACCGTGAGCCAGAGACACCGGTATAACCCAGGAAGGAGGCCTGATGAAAGGAGCGATGACTCAGGGGAAGGTGGTAACAAACCAGAGAGATCAAATAGCGTAGAGGTGCTTCATTCATCGCCACGGGGACACTGGGTAGTTTCTGCATAGACATATTGTTCTCCATAAGGGATAGAGAAACACATGAGAGAAAGTGCTGGGGGGGGGGGGGTGGGGGGTTCAGGGAGCCGGCCCAAGCAGCACCCCTGGAGCAGTGGGGGTTAAGGGTCTCGCCCCAAGGGCCCAACACTGACATAAACGGGTAAAGTGACTCAACTCTGTAATCAACACTAACCTGCGAGGTGCCTGTAAGGTATGAGGTCATGTTGGGTGATACGTCAGACAACAGGCGAAAGGGAAAGAGTGTGGGACCGGGGTGGGGGGCTACACCTTAACAACAACACTGAGCCAGACAGAAAGGGAAAAAACAAATTATAGAAAATCAATTCGGCTCAGGACATAAACAGGAAATAAAAAAAACAAAACTGAAAATGATAACCGAAAGCAAAGCACGGCTGTGGACAGGTGAACCAGGCAGTGAGGGGCTGCTTATTGAATATTATTTGAATATATATGTATATGGACAGCTGAAGGACCCAAACTTTGGATAATTCCCTTCGTTCTAGAGATTATCGATGCCAGCAAAATGATCCTGCCATGAGGAGGCAAAGAGAAACGGCGGAGAGAGCCTCGGGACGGCAGGGGGAGCCTCGGGACGGCAGGGGGAGCCTTACTGCTGAGAAACGCACACCCCACTACCCAGCCCCCCCCCCAAACCCCATACTGAAATGGAGCCAGCATGGCTGGCTCGAGATCAGATGTGTCGCGTGTATGGGGGAGGAGGGGGGGGCCATACCTGCTGTTTTCTTTTTGTCTGAAAGACTCTCCCTCCCCCCCCCCGATCTCCAGGCCTCCGAGTTACGCCTCAGGCTTTAACACACAGATGTCCTTTGTGCTGACCTGCACCAGCCCCTGGTGCCACAGACCCCAGTAGGGGGCGCCCTGCATAAACAAAGGGAACAAGAAAGAGGCAGGCCTGCCGTCGCTGACCCTCCCCCGGTATCAGCCTCCTGGGGGGGGGGGGGGGGGGGGGGGGGCTTCAATGGACCAGCCGTCAGCCCAAACAAGCAGACAGCCCCAGCTTCTCTCTGGGGATAAGTCCCTACAAATTGCCTCCTCAAGCCCCCCCCTCTCAACCCCCTACTTTTCCGGGGCCTTTTGAGACTTGGTTTAGGTAAGGAACTTAAACAAGCTCTGTAATGCCTTTATTCCCGAGGCTGACAGGAGATTTCCCATTAAAGACACAATGCCCCCTCGTGCGTTCGCCATATCCCCCCCCACTCTAAACGCGCCACGCTGCTGATCTTTTAAGGAAACACAGGGGTGCGAGCCAGCTTTCCCGCAGGCTGGGGGGGCCAACTCCATCTGAATCAAGCGCCAGCCAGCCTGAGAAAATCAGACACCCCGTTTCACATTTTAGGCAGATGTATCTATATAAAGCCAATTACCACATTTAGTTTCCAAGGAGCGAAATTACATTAAGGAGTGAAGGAAGCAGCTTTCACTGATTCCCCCAATAAACAGACCTTTGTATTTAAATTAAGTTGTGCCCCCCCCAATATTAAATTGTCTACCACACCATTGCTTACATCATGGCAGGTTTTAATTCCCATCACGAAAGGACGTCGCAAAAATGATTCCCTGTGTGAAGCTCGGGGATAATGAGCTTGAGAAGGTGAGGAAAGGTTATAGAAAGGTGATGAGATGGAGAGATGCATCCGTGTTATTCCCGTGTGCTCTGCTCGACACCTGGGTTTGCCGTGGCTCAGGAACGTGACGTCATGCGACCCATGCGGCGCTACTGCCGGGGGGGGGGGGGGCACCTCCAGGATTCACCCGCCCCCGCAGCAGAGAGCAGAGCTTCGCAGCTGCTGGGGCCGGGGCTCTCCTCCACTCCACCCCCCACATTGCCTGGGGGGCTCTCGGCGTGCAAGGCCTTCTAATTAACGAGGTGAATCATGCCGGCATTCTCTAATTAGCGAACACGACGATGAAATGGGAAACATGCGAGCGGAGCTGGCCAGGCTGCGCAGAGGGCGGCCATGACGACGTGTCTCTCAGAGCCCCTCCCGTCACCTTTCTGCAGGCGGAGCGGGTCGCCCAGCGACGCCTGGCTGCACCTCTCTCTCAGTGATGCACCGTCTCCCGACATTCTAACCGATCCTCTAGACCAGTGTTCCACAATCCTCGGGGAACCACACACAGCCCACGTTTTCGCTCCGGAAGCTGGCAGGGAGCAAAAACATGCACCGGCTGTGGGTGGTTAACAGTCTCTCTCTGTCATTGTCCATGTCTTAAAATGGCATGTTTGCATTATATTTATACGTCTCACCATTTGTATTCCATTCATTATTTCTCATCTGCACTATGACCAACGACAGTGACATTTCACCTCAGTGTATGACTCCACGCATCATATATCTGAAGCTGATAATGAGAGACTTTGAGTCTGACTTTCACGCTCCTCTGATATTCAGTGTTGTTTTGGGGGGGGCGTACAGGGCCAATAACTGTTGCCCCGCATCAGTCCCCAAGGACATCCCGCTGATGAGTGTATCCTTATTTTAATCGTGATCAGTGAAAATAAGAAACATGACATGGAAATGATCAGACATCACAAATACAGCCCTTATTTACCTATTTGTACGAATCCGTGTCGCGAAATGAAACAATCCCTAGTACACATGTAGAAATAAATTGAAAGTCTGATTGTACAAGCTCCATCCCTCAAGCACTCTGCCTGCTCCGTAATGCATTCTGCATAGGGGTGGCCTCCCAGAGCGTGATGTAGAGGAAGGCACGGCGGTGAGCTGGAAGCGGGCACAGAAAGCACCTCGAACAAAACCATCTGAAAACCTTTAAATGATAATTAAAGGAAATTATTATGAGTGTCATTTGAGATTATCAGTGCAGGGACGTATCAATACAGGATACAAAAGTGATATCAAAAGTAATATCAGAACCTCGGGGAGCTTGTGGGGGGGGGGTTGCATCAATACAGGGGGAGTCATAATTTGAAGGTCATTGGTTTGAATCCAAGACAAAGCGGCAATGTGATGTCACTGTTAGCCCCTGAGCAAGGCCTCTAACCGCCAGTTATTCCAGGGACCGTTTGACTCTGCCTTCACAACTGTGCGTCTCCTCGGAAAAAATGGAATCTCCCCGATAAAGAGAAAAGTTCTAGCAGTGTCTTCAGGGTCAGATCATGCCAGGTGGATCGGATCCGCATGACAGTCCAGGGCAGACTGACCTCCCTTCAATGGTTAGACCAACTTCCCGAAAAGCAAACTGTAAACTGAATTCCGGACAGTCCCCGGGGATTCCAGAACGGCTTTTCTATAAAAGACCGGCAGAGACTTCGCAAGCAAGTTGTCTCATATTTGGCAGTTTATCTTTAATTAACCTTGAGACACTGTCACATGCTAACATGGACCCAATATCGACACAGAATGCATTTTTGCCATCATCTAATGATTCCATTCACATCTGAAAGTAACTGCATTACACGCGCTTTAGTCAGAGAGTCAGGAACGGGTCTGTGAAGATATGGCTTGCTTACATCATCGGCCACGATTCGCTACGGAAGCCGTGCGGAGTACGAATGTCAAAGCTGCCCAAATCAACCTTTCCATGCCACAATCCTATACATCACAGGATTCTCCACAACGTGGTTGTAGCACATCAGACGACGATCATTTTTCAGCATCTGCTGTGGAATCCTGGGGATACATGAAGAACAAGGCTTTGGTGGGAATAAATTTGCCTCCCGAAACTGCTGCTTGCCAGTCCTCTGTTTTTAGGGTTTACTTGCAGGGTTCCACTGCACTTCCAAAAAGCGCAGGACAAACTGCCTTTGTCTGCACTGCACTTCCAAAAAGCACAGGGCAAACTTTTTAGTTTTTATAGTGCAGTTACAGATTTTTATAAAACTGAGGTTTTTATTGTGGGGACCTGAAAAATGTGTCCACATGATAAAAAGGAACAGGTTTTACCTGCGGTAAATACAAACCACCACCCCCCCCACACCGACACACACACACACACACAGTCTCTCTCCCTCCCTCCCTCTCACACAGTCACACACACACACACACACACACACACACACACAGACACACCCCAGGTTGTCGGCAGCCACACCCCTGGGTGTGTGCCATGCGTCACAGTCAGGGAGCACTAAGGGGTACCTTGCGGGCAGACTCCAGACAGCCCTGCCCCCTGACGATGGGCAAGAGCCTGGGGGGGGGGGGGGCAAACTGCAGGGTGCGTAGCGATGGGCGCGGTCAAAACGCTTGTACGACGCCTCGCCTGACACACTGCTGAAAAGCTTCTGTTCTGAGCTCCAAAAGTGTCGATGGCGTCTGAGACCAGAGCCGATGGGGGAGGGGGGGGCTCTACCTCTCGAAGATATCCAACCTGACCAGTGTACAAAGGACTAGGCACCCAATCAGATCAGGCTACATTTTTTTTTTGGGAGGGGGGGGGCATTAGTGCTGGAAGAAAAGATGAGAGGTGCTTCAGCAGGGCCTCAGATCACCTGCATGCCTCAGTCAAGCCCCCAAGCCACAAGATGCCGCCCCCCCCCCAGACATCAGCTTCCTAACTATATCACTGTCTGGCTTCAAGCCCACAGCACCAGTCATTCTAATACACAACAGCTCTCCTAATTTCATTTTACAAATGAGTGGGGGTGGCAGTTCTCGGGGTGGGGGGAGGGAGGCGGTTGGGGAGGGGGACTGACTCTTACCCAGTGGTTTAGAAAGCTGCTAATAGCTTGTTGCCCTGACGAGAATTTGGACGCCCATGACCAAAGCCAGCCAGGGTGGAAGCACCCCCCCCCCCCCCACACACACACACCCCCAGCTATGACCTGGACAGCAGCAAGGCCACAAAAAGACTGAGGACATAAAATAAAGCCAAAGTCCCTTAACACCACCCGGGAAGCTGGCTAACACGCTTAGCCTAAGGCAACAGAGGGTGCAGCGGCTAAGGGATCGTGACCAAATACTCTTTGTGACCAAAATGTTAAAGGTTTAAGAGCCGTGTCTGGCCCCCTTCCACTACCTTTGATAAAAGCTGGTTCTGTAAATACGTTCACCTGTATAAATGGACAACCACACCATCTGAAGTCGGGAATCACAAGATGATAAAAGGAAATATGAAAACAAGGGACTGATACGGTCATTATGCAGTAGCAAGATCAGGGATGTTCCCACAAGGCCGTTCTCCAGCCGGATACTTTCCAAACACAGTCACACTAGAGTTCAGGTCTCAAGCAAGAGAAGCTCCACCAATTTTGCCACCAGGCAGCGGCTGACCCCCCCCCACAGGTGCTGCACGGGAGCAAATAAACCAGGCTAATCCTCACGGCTCTCAAATTTCCCCATTTTCATCAAAAACACAACTGCACACACTGGAGTCCACAAGCACAGCATCTGACAGGCTGAGACATGTGAAGCTGCACGGTTTCCGAGGAGGAAACAGCCGACTTCCTTTCTGCCGCGTGATAGTTCCTACATTTCTCTACCTAAACGCGCCGCTCTGAACTCTACCTTTCCCATACCTGTCAGCTGCCTGGTCAAAAAAGCTACAATAGCCTTTATAAGAAGAATGAATCTGAACATTTCCCGGAAAGGGCACACAGAGCACTTTCAGCTCGACACCGATTTTCCCGTTCAACAGTTTAAAAGTGAAATTAATAGTGCCCCCTACTATTGAGCGCAGAAGAATCAGGAAAAGGAAGGCATTACCACGAATGACTCAAAGAACAGACACGGTGTGGAACAAACAGCTCCCAAAAAGCACGGACTCTAAATGGCATCACACATGTAGCAAGGCATGAAAAATGGATACGGTGGTCTCTCAAAATGTCAGGGGTAATGATCGCTGCACAGCTTACCTCCTTAGCTTTCTGTTTCAGGCGGGCTTGTTCTGGGTCTTCTTGCCTGGAGCGACTCTGCATGGGGAGGAGGGGGGGGGGGGGGGGGGGGGGGGGGGGGGTGGGGGGTTCAGGGAGCCGGCCCAAGCAGCACCCCTGGAGCAGTGGGGGTTAAGGGTCTCGCCCCAAGGGCCCAACACTGACATAAACGGGTAAAGTGACTCAACTCTGTAATCAACACTAACCTGCGAGGTGCCTGTAAGGTATGAGGTCATGTTGNGGGGGGGGGGGGGGGGGGGGGGACTCAGGTTAGCAGCTGGTTTTAAAAGCCTCCGCATCTGTTGCGGCAAGTGGAGACGGGAAATCGGAACACAAGATGTCAAGGACGGGATGCTTAGATTCATCGGCCGGCGAGACGCGGCCCCCGGGCACCTGCCCTGGCAATCTACTCCACGCACAGCCATTACGATGCCACGTGAAGGAGATTTTAATCAAATGACTTCATCAAATAGCCTGCGTTCTCTGGAGCCGTGTGAGCTGCCGAGCCGGGCTTCATGTGCAAGAAGCTCGCGCCACGTCATCACAGACACGCAACACGCATGTGAGCATTGGCAGGGTCAGCAACCGACATCATTCGGTTTTCCTAACAATCAGAGTATTCTAGAGCCCTTGTAATGCAATGTTTCATAAAAATGTTTATGCAAAAACTTTTACGTTGTGCTTAACATGGTCTGATTTCTGACCCGTTTCTTGTTTGTGTCGCGCCTCTAGATATGTTCGCGTTTCTACAACATCTTGACTGTTGCGCTTTAAAGTCGTATGTGTCTACATGACGCTGATGTAATAACGTTAGCTAGTCTCCCACTAGTAATTACACTGCCGCAGAAATCTGCAGGCCACATCAATAACCTCTGCAGGCACTTCCACATCCCTGTCTGCAGTCCCCCCCGATCCAAGCAAGGTGACATTGAAAGGAGAGAAAAAACACACAGTACCCTTGAAAAGTTTATATTCTTCTGTGAAACAAATTAGGTGGAGCTTTGAAATGAAGTGCGGCTCTAAGGTGGAGCACTCAGTCTCCAGCGTTGGAGAACCCATCTAGACACCGCCATCCATCTGCAGTGAGGGGCCTCAGCTCAGAGCTGCCCCTGTTGGGTGCATCAGACAGCTGTGCCCTCCTGCCTGGGGGGCGTCACACCTAGAGGACTACTAGCGGGCATCAAAATGCACAACTCACGCCGTTGTGGAGGCAGCCTGGCATTAAGCTCAAGGTACGGAACAGCCCTTCAGGAATGTGCAGCCTTAGATTCGCGTCTCTGATAACCCAGGGCCCAGACGTGTAAATCCCTCAGTAACAATGCCGTACTTCCCAGTGTAAAAGAGCAGTATCTGTAGGCAAGAGGTTTCAGCTGAAAACATCTACAGCAATTTAAAAAGGGGTGCCTCTAACGGATCAGGGGTTTCTGGGTAATAGGTGTCTGTGACCTTCTTTTCCATCTCTGCTGCGCCTCCTTATGGCATGAAGAAATTCTAGGAGAAACGCCTCTTTAAACCCCTTGGTGGATGGGATGACCACACACCAGTTACCATCAGTATAACCCAACAGTAACCAGTTTTAAAAAAATGAGGTGGGTGGATTTACCCGACTGGGAGAAAATCCCATCCGCCCAGATCATCTGTCCTACGTGAAAAGATGCACAAAATGTCTGTAGGGTAAATGCGGTCAATTGCTCCTCGGACCTGACGTCTGTTCATCAGGCACACACTAACCCACAAACCCCACCAGTGGCCCCCCAAAAAGGCTGCCTCGAGCTCCTGCGGGCATCCCATGATTACGGTGAAATATTTAAGTCATTTGTGGTCTTGAAGGGCTTCCTTAATCAAATGGCCTCCTGAAATGGAAACCAAGGGCTTTGAGATTTCCTCCTAGTTACGGTAATTAATGAGGAGTTAAGTGCTCAACTTCCTTCTGAGTTTTGGGAAACGGGCCTTGGAAAGGTATACCTCCGAGGTCAACGGCGATGTGTCGGTGCACGATACCGTGGGGCACACGGGCGATCGTGCGGGAGAAGGCTAACTGCTGCTTTGGAGGGGCGGGTCGGGAATCGGCCCGGCAGGAGGGCAGCCGGCAGCCCGGCACAGGGTGCGGTTATCGGACCTGCGCGGCGCTGGCACGCGGGGAGCGATGACGTCTTAGGGCCAGAAGCCAAGACGGGCCGTACCTTGGCAGCCTTTAACAGGATCTCTCGCTCCTGCTCGTCCTTCCGCTGCTTCTCCAGCCTCTCCAGCTGCTCGAAGAAGCGGAGCTGCGACCGCACGTCCGTCGACTGCTCGTGATGCTCTTCATCCTGTGGAGAGAGGAGGCCGGTCGCTGAGTGTGAGCCACCCCCCCTGCTCGCCCCCCACCCCCCTCTCGGGTTCAACTTCATCTGATGAAGGTCTGACTCATGGTTAGCCCCTAATTGTTTGTTTGTGAGCTTGTTTTTCCAGTAACCCCCGCCCCACACACCGCAACCCCGCCTTTGTTCTCCTGTTCCAAGCACAGTGCTGTAACCATAACCCCCCCCAGCATCACCCCCAGCTGCCTCCCCCGCCTGTTTGAAGGCCACAGCCTGTTATCTTGCGGTTTCTCGATCAGCTTGTGTGTTTCGCTGATGTCAACAGTGTGACTTGATACAGATTAAATTTCTCATTTAGAAACCAAAAGAAAAAAAAAAAAAAAAAAACAGGAATACTTTATTATAACAACCCTCCACGAGTCAAACGGGAACAGCATTACAATATTATGATTATTCCTAAAGACGCAAAAGACAAAAATTCATGTATTATTTATCGCCGTATTCAGTTTTTTTAAAAAAATGTTAAAACTGAAAAATGCTGCACAACGAGTCAAAGATTCTGCAAGTATCTCCGATCAAACACAAACTTAGGATTGGTCCTTAAACGCCCCAGTCAGCATTAAATCAGCCAGAAATAAATAATTTCAAAGCCAAGTTGGCCTGTGACTCTTAGAGAAAAACTCTACACTGAAAGGGAGGTGTAGTGTAAAGGGGGAGTCATATTTAATATTAAGCTTTCTGGGAATGACAGAGCTACACAGCCACCAGCAGGGGCGCCGGCGAGGCCCACAGCCACCAGCAGGGGTCCTGGCCACCACTAGGGGCGCCGGCGAGGCCCACAGCCACCAGCAGGGGCGCCGGCGAGGTCCACAGCCACCAGCAGGGGTCCTGGCCACCACTAGGGGCGCCGGCGAGGCCCACAGCCACAGCCCTTACCTTACACGTCTCCATCCGGTGCTGTGCGATGGCAGACATCCTCTCCAGCATCGTCCGCAGCCTGGCCTGCGTGGCGTGAGAGATGAAGCTGACGGCCTCCGCTGGCACCTCGGTCACCCCAAATTTCTTTGCTGCAATCAAGTCAGAAACCCAGTGAGATTCAGGCTTTATGGTAATCAGGAAATTATACAACGTCTGTATGAAATAGTTAAATACTATGAGATGGTCCATTCAATTAATGCAAACCAAAAAAATACCGATCACAGACTTGCAATGATTCCTGTCAACATTCAGAATGCCAAGGTGGAGTGTCCCTTGTGACCACCATAACAGAGGTTACATCTGCACTGAAAGCTCCTGTGACAATCAGGTAAATATTGCCTGTGAGTTTTGGCTTGTGGTATCTGTGAACAATGTCTGTTGTGCTAGTCACTGGTTTTTCTTTCTGGCATGCTGATCGTTTTAACGTGATGTTGCCATCTAACTATGTTTCATGACAAGGACAAGGTTGATTTTAGCTTTCCTACCAGCCTACTGTACTGAAAGCAAAGTCCTGTGGGTCATTAAGGAGGATTCTGATTCTGAATCTGAAAATCGCGCCCCTTCCTACCACTGGAATCATGGGCACGGACAATGACCTGCGTTGACGAGCTTTGGATTTTGACCAGATGAACTACAATATCCTGATACCTTTTGCCTACTTTTTTTTGCCTAATCTATGCCGGCTTGCTGGGAGCAGAAGTTTGCAGTTTCTGGCGCTGCCACGGCGACAGAGTGAGACTCCGAGGAATTTCACACAGCCGGCAGAGCTGTAGTAGCCAGCCGACATCCTCGAACCCTGCTTTTCAGATTTAAAAGGTAAATATGAAAGCAGTGAGAGTTCCTCGTGAGGCATGAGCCAGTTTGGCCAGAGCACAATTTAAAGGATAATTAAGTTCCCTTAAAGCGATTCACAGTTTGAGTTACGCTGCGGAGTCCGAAATTGGGCAGGTTACGTTCTGAATTTCCTTTTAAATTTTGCATTAACATAATTGTGTTTCTGGCAGTGTTTTAAGTAAAACACGCTGGTTATTTAAAGCAAGCCCTGTATACCATCTTGTTCTTGTTAACAGCTCAAAAGGGCAACGCTGAAATGCCAGAGAAGGAAGGAAGGTGGGGGCAACACACTAAAACACAGATTCATTCATAAGTTAAGTAACGATAAAAGGGTTAGGGTTACGAATGCTAATAGCGATGAGACCTTCTGGGCTGATAGCCGCCCCCCCCCCCCCGCCAAAGGAAAACCAACACAAATCCCACAGAAAGCACAGCCATGGGGGCCAATGCTGCGGCGGACAGGCGGTCCGGTCTGCCACGGCATGTCGCTATCCTCTGCCAGGGGGCACCAAGGAGGGAAAGCGTTCAGCCATCTTTCAGAGAGAAACAGGACGGGTTCCTCAGGATGGCACAACCCACTTTAAAGGGCACGGGGGGGGGGTTAAGCTTAATTCCTGTGGGGGCTGCGTGTGTGCCGGCTTGATTGGCTGATTAGATTTAATTATTCTCTAGCTGTTTATCCTCTAAAATACAGATTTTAGGCGATTTTGCACCAAAAAGGCAGAAGACACAGAATTTGTATCAAGGGAAGTTGCTGTACACCCCTCCTAGGTGGTATGGCCGACATTTGGAAAGGAGGAGACCCAAAGTTTGATTCAGAGGTCATTCCAAATAGGGTAACAACGGAGGGCAGGTCATAACTCAATAGATATTCATGTATATGAGCGTGTAAATAGTGCACACGACATTAACTGGACTCACGTCCAATGCACCACTGCACCCAACTGTGCCCTGATCAGACTCTGGCCATTTGATGTGTCTGGCAGAACCAAGCTGGCAGAAATGTCAACCAGTAGGGGGCGCCCAGCCTCGCGGTTACCAACAAGCCACACCATGGGAGACTTGTGGAAAACCCCCGCAAGTCAGATTTACATTTTTAAACATGCGGCCGCCCCAGGCGACAGGATAACAACCAAACGAAGACGCAAAACAAAAGCACATAACCTCAGGCTCTCGTTTGTATGCCAAGAATACCTAATCAAGAGGGGAAAGAGATTTTTCAAATTACAGTTCAATTTACATATAGTGAAGGTGGACACATTCAAGCCAGAATGACTCTAAAAGCATCTGACACCAACAGAATGCCGTACTTCTACCAACAGCGATGTATATACATCACACTTAGACAAATTTGTCTCCATTAAACTGTCAAATAATTGATAAGTGAAAAAAATAGACTTGTAACCAAAATCCCTGGTTATAAAACACAGGAAGCGGGACAGAGCTGTGTGCCAGAAGTGAACCAGAAGACACTGCATCCAACACCACAAACACAGCAAGCTCAAGAAAGCCTTCCGTCACCATGCGCGCGATGAACTGCCGGCGTTAAAATTCACAAACCTTTTCACCGCTGCGACTTCCTGCATGTAAATATACACCCGTCTCTACGTTTCACAATGTTCCTATCTGAACCCGCATTTATCCAAACTGGGAGAGATTTTCTCCTTCCAAATGGCGTTTTCAGTTACCCGAGTGTCTTTTTCGTCTGAGAGTGGCCCAAAAGCAGGACGAACACACTTCAGTCCTCTACGTGCCATTTCAATCATCTACGCACCCCCCCAACCCCCCCCACAGGCTTCTCCTTTCACCTCCCCACAGCTTTTGGACCTTCTCGCGCTTAAGGGATTCATTGTCCGCCTCATTTTACAAAGTTATAGCCACAATGTTTATTATGTTCATCATTTATTTTCATATTACCACCACAATTCATATCACAGATAAGGCGACATCGCTTAAAAAAAAACAAAAACAAGCCTATTTACTGTTTTATTTGCTATTGTATTGCACCACTAACTTGGCTACTTTTATCTGATTAACAAAGTACTAAATAACATTCTTTATAGTGTATTTTTATGTTTGTGCTCTAGTATGTGAATTGATTTGTATTATATTTACATCTGCAATTTTCATATTTAATCACATTTGTCCAAAACATCCCAGATACTGGATCAGATTGAGATCTGGTGAGTTCGGAGGCCAAGTCAACAACTTGAACACTTTTTCATGTCCCTCCAACCATCCCTGAATATTTTTTGCAATGTGGCAGCACATTATGGTGCTGAAAGCGGCCGCTGTCAGGTAGCCCTCTTACACCAGGGCCAAGCCTGAATTCCAGCCCGGGCACTTTATTCACACCAAACACAAGAGCCGTGCCGGAACTCATTTATCTGGCCGTGAAAGAGTGCTGGGCCAAAGCTGGGAGTGTGTGATGTCAGGAGGCGGGGTCACAGTCACGCTATCTGGCTTGAAATGTCAGTAATTTAAGTGAAATTTACCCATCATGTCATTTGTGGGCTTGTTTTAACATAAGTGAAGAGAATGCAGATGGTCAGCAGCATCACTTTTTATATTTATTCATTCCACGTGAAAGATTTACATATTTCTTTTTTTTTTTTTTATATATATATTTGTAAAATAAGTTTACCAAAATGTTTAGTTCTTTTATTGTCTTCACTCTCCCTATCAAAAGGAGTCCATTAATGCTTATTGCACATTAGTCCCTACGTACTTTATATGCATTTGTGCTGATTTGACAGGAAATTACTGTGCATTTTAACCTTTATATGCTAATTCACACTTCATTTGTAGTATAAAGGTTCAAATGCACGGTAACTTCCTAGTTTACAGCCCACTTGTTTGCCTGCCGTTAGTCCACACAGTGCCCATATCAGATTTCGTCAGGAAGGCTGAGGTTTTGGGTCTAGTGGGCTTCTTGTGTGTTGCTGTGTCAACTGCATGTGCGCAAGGAATTGACTGCATTACTAGGTGTTTCCAGTAGGTCTGTTGGAATATCACTGCTGAATGCCTTCGAAGACCATGACTGTATGCGTACATGGATAATGTAGTATGTATATATGCGACTGTATTGGACAAGTGGACAAGCGGAGTAAGAACTAGGCGTATCCCAAGAGACAAAGGGCACGTGGTAGAGCGATACCATGGATGGACGGACGGACGGACACACACACACACACACACACACACACACACACACACACAGAGCAATTCAGAGACACCAATTCACTTCGACCTTATGTTCTGGACCGTGTAAGTAACCCACAGAAAACCCACACAGAACTGGGGGCAGAATTCGACCCATAAACCTGGGAGCCTGAGGCCACGGCGCCACCCACTGGGCCAGTACGCTGCTCCAGGCTGGTGCACAAACATCTTAAATAACTGTGCTGCATGTGTGACTAATGTGTGAGGCCTCACGACGCAGTAAGAGGCCAGCGGGCCGGGGGGGGGGGGGGGGGGGGGGGGGGGGTCAGGTACCAGTCTCCAGGATGCGCCGGTGCAGCATCCCCGGCGGCAAGAAGGCCTCGTCCTTGCAGGACCGGATCTGCGTGCCCACAAGGTCCGAGTTTGTGGCCAGGATGCGGGCACTCTCCTCGTTCAGGTTCACCCCGGCCATGGAGGCCACGTCGTTGATGTCATCGTCATCCCTGCAGTGCAAAAAAGAGGGCCGTGAAGCCGTGGGTGGGGGGGGGGGGATCCCCATTTCAGGAAACGTCACGTCGCAAGATAAAGCTGGAGCGACCCGCCGACTTCTCCGTCACGATGAAATTAAAACCCGGTTCCCAGTAATCTCATTCATCCCGTGGCGAGACGTATAATATACACGTTTCATTACTGTTAGAAACATCACATCGGGAACCGAGAGGGAGAAAGCGAAATTGAGATGTTTGACACCAAACGACTATCAGGGCTAAAGGTTCCCTCAGAAAGGTGCAGCCGCCTTTTCAGAGTCTGATCCAGGAAAACAAAGAACCTCAAAGGAAACCGTTTCATCGTACCAATGCAGTGATGCGGTTCTCTACTCTGCTTATTTAAACATTATTTCTCATAACAACCCATTTCATTCAAAGTGCTTAAATACATTTGCGCTTTAAATTTTACACAGCTATGTTTTAACCTGTGAGCTACTGGAACAGCCACACTAAAGACAAAAGTGTACATACCAGGGAAACTTCTAGAAAAAGCTAAACACTAATATTAAATGCTAATTAGCCTCTTAGCATTCAAAAAGCCAATGTCCTTCCTGGAAACACGACAGGCTGTTTCAGCCCAAAGGGGTTTGAATTGATAGTCAGAGGAAGAAAAGGCCATGTTAACCACCCCCCCCCCCCAGAAAAAGGGCCAAACCAGAGCTTACACCCCAATAAGAGCCAAACCCGAGGTTAGCGTTAAAACTGCACGGTAAACCCTCAGGGTTCAGTCTAACCTAAAGTCTTCATTTCGAGTCCCAGGACAGGCAACTGAACCTGAACTGAAAAAATAAAGGAGTAAACAAGCGGCACAAAGTGGGTCAAGCTCTCCAAGTGTCTCTGGATGAAAGTGTGCAAAGCAAATAAATAAATTATAACCTGATTCCTGTGTGAGGCTGGAAGGTGTAATAATAAAATAAAAACTAGGAGCCTGTTTGCGATTTTGGTTAGTGAGGAGGACCTACCCCTGAGCGAACGAGCGGGAATGTGGGGGGCGGTTTTGGGACACCGCTGTTATGACTGAGATGGGGAGGGATGGAAACGCTGAGCCTGGGATCCGCAGCTGATGGGGCGAGTGGATGAGGGGGCTCTATGGAGAGCATCTGTTTCTACTCAGCGGCATAAACACGACTGCGGCCATGCGGAGGGTGTCGGGCCCCCAAGCCGGGGGGCCCCACGCTGATCCGGGACCGGCGTCCGACTGATTCTGCAGGACATGGTCCTCGGGTAAATATGGTCACGCGTTATATACCCTAACAGCTTCACTGGGAATCAGGGACTAGTCTTTTTCTGGTGTGATCCGCTAGGCCGTTTGTCTTTGGAAAGCGGCCAGCAGAGCTCTGCTTATTTTTACCGTTACAAACCGGGGACGTGATCACGTGACCTCGCATCCCGAGAGGGATGTGATGTGCTGTACGGGGACACAGCGGCCATCACAGCCCACTACTGAATACGGCACACTTACAGCAGGTTACGGCATCCACGGGAGGGGGGAAATTAGTGGCCAAACGGTGCGTGAAAGCAAAAATAAACAGCGGCATGATCTCAACCCCCCCCCAAAGTGCCACTGCACCACCCCCCCCAAGGGCACAGTGGTTTGGCCCGGGATGTTTGCGTTTGCTGTCCCGCTTTAAAGGGCGGTCTGCTTGCGGCCCCTCAGGGGGGGTTGTGCATTGCCACACAAAGGCGGAGACCGTGAGTCCACCATGGCGCCAAATCCAATCGGCACTGAGACGCGAGGGGATTCGGGCAATTAAACCCGCTTCAACGTTAATGGGAAGAACAAAAAAAAAAGCTCCATTTGTGTTTAAAGCGAAAGACAGCAGATGGGGTTACGTTCATTACTAAAATAACTGGGAGGGGGGGCCTGGGGAGGAAGACGAACAGTCCTGACAGCTTAATTATCAAAGTCGCTAAAGATGTATGGGTTTATCAATCACTCAGCCCCCAGGGAGCATGGACCATTACCAGGAGCGTGATGTGCGGATCCCGCCCAGACGCTAGGAAGCCGATCATACCAGCATGTTACTCAACACCTCAAACCACACACCCCCCCCAG